TTCGTGTATAACGTAGAGAAGGTGTGTGACGTCATAATGTACCCACGGCTACAGAGCCTATGGACAGAGCCTATGGTCAGGGCCTATGGACAGAGCCTATGGTCAGGGCCTATGGACAGAGCCTATGGTCAGGGCCTATGGACAGAGCCTATGGTCAGGGCCTATGGACAGAGCCTGTGGTCAGAGCCTATGGACAGAGCCTATGGTCATGGCCTATGGTCAGAGCCTATGGACAGAGCCTATGGTCAGAGCCTATGGTCATGGCCTATGGTCAGAGCCTATGGTCAGAGCCTATGGTCAGAGCCTATGGTCATGGCCTATGGTCAGAGCCTATGGTCAGAGCCTATGGTCAGAGCCTATGGTCAGAGCCTATGGTCAGAGCCTATGGTCATGGCCTATGGTCAGAGCCTATGGTCAGAGCCTATGGTCAGAGCCTATGGTCATGGCCTATGGTCAGAGCCTATGGTCATGGCCTATGGTCAGAGCCTATGGTCAGAGCCTATGGTCAGAGCCTATGGGACCCAAGGCGCCACCTGCCACCCCCCCCTTCCCCAGGAATGTCCAGTACTCGTCACTTCAGCGGCCGGTGTAACAACGTACTCTCCCTCAACGATCTTACCACTTGTTTGATAGACTCTTATAGCATGGAATTTTAGGATTTTACAAGAAATAATAATATAATCATTCATCGTGTCGGGGTACAGGCAGCCAGTGTGTATATATATATATATATATATATATATATATATATATATATATATATATATATATATATATATATATATATATATATATATATCAGTTATGCAAAACTAGGCGATGACGCCACCAAAGACTATACAGTTATTCATCTATCATCATACTCATCTCTCTAACGATATGTATATTTTGCGCTTTGTACAAACCTAAATGCGCTTTGTATAATTATTATTTATTATTATTTCTTTTACACAAGTGGGTAGACAATTTTCACTCCTATTATTAGCCTTAGCGTTTTTCTTCCCACAGCTAGTGGTAAACGTTACCCTACTAATTTTGTGCGAACTGTCACGAATCAATCCGCCCCCTAGCCAAGGCTCGAACCCAAATGCGAGGAGCTAGTGTGCTGCCATCATTGATGGGGTTACTGACTCACCGTACTTGATGGGGGTGAGGTTGTGAAGCAGCCCTGGGCTTTGGTCTGGCTGTGTGGTAGGGGTGAGGAGGCCGTTGATGGAGTAGCCGCCCATGTTCATGCCCATGCCTGCCCGAAGACCCCGGAAATGGGCGTCGGGAAATGCCCCATTACTTGGCTCTACCATCTTGTCCTCCATGGTGGCTCAGTGTTTACTGTGTCCGAAAGATATCCCTTATTCCATCGATGTCTCCTGTGTTTAGTTGATGGTTCCGGTGTTCGATTGATGGCAATGTTTGTTTGGTTGATGCCCCCTTTGAATTCAACCTTTCTCGTGTTGATGTTACTATCCGGCTTGTATTCCTCTGTATCGTTGTGGTTATCTTACACTTGTCCCGTCCGGAGACACTGTCGCCGTTGTCTTCACTCTACACTGAAGTAACTCTGGGCGCTAAAGTTCGAATCCCAGATGCCGAGAGCCACTGTAGCAAAATGTACGGGAATTAGGCCAAGTCGTGCATTCTTTTCTCGGTTCAAGTCAGTTTTGTGCACTCAGGTTTTCTGCTTGAGACACTAGTGAGTGCCCGGACCCCAGTTAGGTGTCACTAGTGTTGCTAGCGACGCAGGTGACCTCCCGGGCGCCGCACACAGGTGTTTCACACTCACGCCAACACGTTATATGTTCATGCACCGGCCGAAGGTGTTCTGGGCCAGTGTTATACTTGGGGGTATGTCGGTCCTGGCACTTAGCGGAGATGGCAACCCTCGTGTTTCTGCCATGACACTAGATGGCGATAATCACCGGTGACCTCGACGGAAATCTCATACGCTAAGAAAGGCCAAGGTTTAGTCAGTCTTTTGTTGCTGTCCAAAGCCTTTACTGGAGTCTAGTTTCAGTGTAGCAGTTTCCTCCAGTGTCGTGACTCCCTCGCCTGTAGGGAACCCGCAGGAGTCACCGCTACAGATCACACCAAGGTCAAAGTTCACGAGAGAATGGTGTCGGTGCTTGTTGCAGAGGGAGGCCGTTGGAGGCGCCCAGATAAGCCGGAGGGCGGAGTGCCGTCTTAAGGGGAGGAGTCAGTGCCATCGTGGAGGGGAGGAGCCAGTGCCGCATGCCACACGAGGGGAGATAGAGAGGAGGCACAAGTGGCAGGAGGGGCTCGGGAGTGAGCAAAAGGAGAAAGAGGGGAAAGGAAAGGTGGAGTAGAGGAGATAGAGAATACAGAGGGAAGGAAGGAGAGGGTAAAGTAATCGCATTTCTGATCTCCGCACGATCGCTCCTCTGTCAACACAACTCGCGGTCAAGTTGTCCAATGAGGCAGGCCACTGCTGATGCCTCCCTCTGTAGACATGGCCGCCGCTGGGCCCCTGTAGTCGAGCACCCGCCCCCCCCCCTCCCTCCCTCCCTCTCCCGAACACCCTCCCCCGAACACCCTCCCCTCCAACACCATCCCCGTGCCTGTTCCAGTGGGAGGGGGAAGGGGGTGCTGGAATGCTCATGGAGGAGGGGGGGCAGGGAGGTGGGAGGGGAAAATTGTTGTGGGTCTTCAACTATCAATAATTTTCTTCTCCAGCAGTGAATCATGTGTGGCTCCAGAGCCTGAGACTAGAGCCTCCTGGCGGGGAGACTGGAGCCTCCTGGCGGGGGAGACTGGAGCCTCCTGGCGGGGAGACTGGAGCCTCCTGGCGGGGGAGACTAGAGCCTTCTGGCGGGGGAGACTGGAGCCTCCTGGCGGGGAGACTAGAGCCTCCTGGCGGGGAGACTGGAGCCTCCTGGCGGGGAGACTGGAGCCTCCTGGCGGGGAGACTAGAGCCTCCTGGCGGGGGAGACTGGAGCCTCCTGGCGGGGAGACTGGAGCCTCCTGGCGGGGGAGACTGGAGCCTCCTGGCGGGGAGACTAGAGCCTCCTGGCGGGGAGACTGGAGCCTCCTGGCGGGGAGACTAGAGCCTCCTGGCGGGGGAGACTGGAGCCTCCTGGCGGGTAGACTGGAGCCTCCTGGCGGGGAGACTGGAGCCTCCTGGCGGGGGAGACTGGAGCCTCCTGGCGGGGGAGACTGGAGCCTCTTGGCGGGGAGACTGGAGCCTCCTGGCGGGGGAGACTGGAGCCTCCTGGCGGGGGAGACTGGAGCCTCCTGGCGGGGGAGACTGGAGCCTCCTGGCGGGGAGACTGGAGCCTCCTGGCGGGGGGAGACTGGAGCCTCCTGGCGGGGGAGACTGGAGCCTCCTGGCGGGGAGACTGGAGCCTCCTGGCGGGGGAGACTGGAGCCTCCTGGCGGGGGAGACTGGAGCCTCCTGGCGGGGGAGACTGGAGCCTCCTGGCGGGGGAGACTGGAGCCTCCTGGCGGGGGAGACCTCCTGGCGGGGGAGACTGGAGCCTCCTGGCGGGGGAGACTGGAGCCTCCTGGCGGGGGAGACTGGAGCCTCCTGGCGGGGGAGACTGGAGCCTCCTGGCGGGGGAGACTGGAGCCTCCTGGCGGGGGAGACTGGAGCCTCCTGGCGGGGAGACTAGAGCCTCCTGGCGGGGGAGACTGGAGCCTCCTGGCGGGGGAGACTAGAGCCTCCTGGCGGGGGAGACTGGAGCCTCCTGGCGGGGAGACTGGAGCCTCCTGGCGGGGAGACTAGAGCCTCCTGGCGGGGGAGACTTTCTTGCTAGTGCTTTTAGCCTCATCTTGGGATGAGGCTTAACAGTAGGCCTAAGAGGAAAGGACATCATAAATATTAATATGAGGAGTGAAGGAGAAAGTAAGGAGAGGTGTGAGGGAGAAAGTAAGGAGAGGTGTGAGGGAGAAAGTAAGGAGAGGTGTGAGGGAGAAAGTAAGGAGAGGTGTGAGGGAGAAAGTAAAGAGAGGTGTGAGGGAGAAAGAGAGTGTGAGGGAGGGAGGAAGGGTGAGGCAGGTGTGAGGGAGAGTGAGGGAGCTGACCACACAAGATAAAGACCTACAAGTTGCTTGGTACCGATACAGACGGGTGTCAGGTCGACGACACAGACGGGTGTCAGGTCGACGACACAGACGGGTGTCAGGTCGACGACACAGGTGTCAGGTCGCCTGTGTATACCTCAGCAGGGGAACACCCGGGAAGAGACCCGAGTCGTGCGGGGCACACCTTACCCTCGGGTACTTATCATGCAGCAAGAAAATGTACAATATACAATATACGGGTTATTCATGCCCGTGCCACCTCTTGGGTGGCTTAATCTTTATCCATCAACTTACAATGACTCGAACTCTGTCTTTGACAATGTTAACCAAACGCGTCTCTTAGCGTCTGGCCAAATAGAACTGCAAAAAAAAAAATTTGGAGAGTTAATTTTTTCGACTTCCTTCTCAAGTGAAGATAACTATAAGGGAAGTGAAAGAAGATTAGTGTTAGAATAATGATCTCACACTTTCGGTACTCATCAAGATTGTAACTTGCTTAGCTAAATGAATTGTGGGGTTCAGTCCCTGAGCCCATTATGTGCCTCTGTAACCCTTTCCACTACCGCCCACAAGATGGGTATGGGGTGCATAATAAATGAACTAAACTAACTAACACTTTCGGTCATGTTCAATAATATATAAGAGGGTAAGAGGTGTTTAGCAAGAGGTCGCAGTAGGGAATGTTTTTAACTGTGAAACTGTTGAGGTGGTCAGGTGACTGTACTGCTCCTATTCTGACTGACACTCAGCCAGTGAATTGAACTATCTTTCCTATCCCTGCAGTTTATATCATCTTCGTCATGTAACTGGTTACTTACGCTAAGTAGGATATCGTTCATGTAATTGCAATATACTGTTAGTGGTTCATGCTATAAGGAGAGGAGGTAAGTGTAAGAATGTGAAGCAGAAGACGGCGCCAGAGGTGGGCGAACACTGGTGACCCGGGTTTGGGCGGTGGCCCGCTGTCCCCGGAGACGTCAGTTGGCTACTGGCTGTGTGAGAGCTGTATTCCGGGTTCCTGTACCGTTTATTCCTTGGACTGTACCTGTGCACAAGTACAGCTTGTGGGCGCTCGAGCCCAACGTCTCTACAGCGTGACTCTTGTCTAATATCAGTCTAAGCCGGCGCCATGGTGTCCTCCGGCCTGCTTGTTGCGGTAAGATGAAGTGGTTGGCTACTTCACCATGTTCTTGATAACCATTTCTTAAGCCATTCTAACGCCTCCTTGGGATGACTTTACTATTGCGGTTCTCTTCTTGAACACTTGGCTAATTCGCAGACGAGGAGTCACAATAACGTGGTTGAAGCATGTTGACCAGACCACACACTAGAAGGTGAAGGGACGACGACGTTTCGGTCCGTCCTGGACCATTCTCAAGTCGATTGTGTCGTCGTCCTTTCACCTTCTAGTGTGTGGTCTGGTAAACATACTTAAGACTAGTTTATTAACTCTTGAGTATCCAGTTGACGCTCTGCTCCAATTGACTGTTCACTGGTAATACAACTGCTTAACAACTTGCCATTGGTCGGTAACTGGTAGTTTGAGACGTTGCGAGCAGCTGTGCTACCATGGTGAGGTTTGTGGTGAAGGACAGATAGAGCCACCCAAGAGGCGGCACAGGTAGCCCGTACAGTTGTGGTGATTGAAATTGAAATAAGTTTATTGAGGTAAAATACACAAAGGGATGAGGTAGCTCAAGCTATTCTCACCTCGTTCAGTACATCGTGTTAATACATAGACACACATCACAAACAATAAACATATTACCGAACATTCTGAGATAAATATATACATTTCCTCCTTGACACAAGTAGTTGTGGTGACGGACTTCCTCTGTCAATCTCTATGGTTAAAGTTACCAAGAGCTGACAAACCAGCAGGTACTTTAGTTATGGACAATGTCCAGGGCTAAAGTAAGCTACGTGTACATCAATATAAATGTGTATATATATATGTGTATGTATGTATGTGTATATATGTGTGTGTTTATGTGTATACTAAATTGTTCTGGGGGACAGGAAGCCCTTGTGTACACACTAGGCTTGTAAAGGGGTACTCCCCCCCCCCCACACACTACGTAGCAGTACTGACCCCGCCCAGGAAACAATCCCACAGCAAGTTCAGTAAACAGTAAGAAGGTACCCAGGACTTAAATGAATGGGTGCATTAGGTGAAAGTAAATATACTCAACCATTTGTCCCGGCCAGGATTCGAACCCGGAATTCTCGATTGTGCGTAGAGAACGAACCCGGCTGTACTATTGGAACCCTCGTCTAAATTAGAGTATACCTCGGTGTAGACATTTCCCAGTGGTAGTGAGACCCGTCAGTATATAAAAGTACACGACAATCGGCATTAAATTACCTGGCGGCCATGAAAGAAGTTACAGTAGATAGTTATTTCGCAAACCATCTGGTTCATCAGTCCAGCAACCAGGAGGCCTGGTCGACGACTGGGCCGCGGGGACGCTGAGCCCCGGAAGCACCTCAGGGTAACCTCAAGGTGACCAGGGTTCCAAGGTAGGGACCTCTCGGTCTGCTCTCCCGGCCGGCACAAGACTGTATTTATATATACAAAAGTTCCTACATTCTTGTACAGCCGGCAGCACGCGTAGCGTTTCGGGCAAGTCCTTTACCCTGTGTTCCCCTGAGTACGACCCGCCGAATCATTTAATTAGGTACCCATTTTATTGTGTAAACAGGATACAGTTAAGGATTGACACCGTCAATCCAACCCCGGCCAGGATACGAACAGAGGATAAAGCGCTCGCGAAACGCTAGGAATGTCTTAACCACTACACCACGGACTGTGTAATCCCTAATAGATGGTCAAGCCTAAATTTTTAGATAATTTGTGGGCAATTGATTCATGTTTTAGCAGTCCCCGTATTCACCTAGCTGTGCTTGCGGGGGTTGAGCTTAACCCGTGGTGTAGTGGTTAAGACACAAGCTTGGTGTTTCGCGAGCGCTTTGTCCTGGGTTCGTATCCTTGCCGGGGAGGACTGACTAGGCGTCAGTCTTGTACATTTATACTGTTGTTCAGTATAAGCATTTATACCATTTCCTTTTGGTATTGCCATGCCCTAATCCAACTTAGCACCCCCAATACCGTGAGTATCTTTTTAATGTCTCGTGTGGCACTGTATCAAAAGCTTTGCTAAAGTAAAGGTACACATCACAAATCTTACACTGTCAACTGCCTCAACTATGCTGGAATAAAAAGATAGCAAATTTGTTAAACATGAACGGCCATTTGTAAAACCATGTTGACTGCTTTATTAGTTTTTAAAAGATGAAAATGAATGGTATTTCCAATTATCGATTCAAGTAACTTTCCCACAATAGACGTTAGGCTAATTGGCTGATAGTTTGATGAATGTGATCCATCTCCTTTCTTAAAAATTGGTACCACATTAGCAACCTTCCACGACTCTAGCACTCTGCCTGACTCTAATGATTTATTAAATATGGTAGACAATGGATCGCAAAGCTCCTCTTTGCATTCTTTAAGCACACTTCATCCGGCCCGGGGGATTTGTTTGGTTTGAGTTTTACTATCTGTTTAATATCATCCCTGGTAACTGTTAGATTAGTCAACCTGTCCTCGTCCCCGCCCACATTCACTTGTTCGGCTGAAGGCAGTAAAGTTCTTCTTAAGTAAATACAGATAAAATATTTATTGAAAATGCTACTCGTCTCTTCATTATCAGTTATCTTACCTGTCGGTTTTTAATGGACCTATCCTTTCCTAACCTTTGTTCGATTATAGAGGATTAAGGACTTGGCCGATACGCTACGCGTGCTAGCATAGCGTTTAATTAAAATACTAAACACACACTTTGTGATCAGTAACTTTTGAAATAGGTGAGGTATGGGCGTGTTGACCGTAGTGTGGTTGGTGTGAGGGGGTGTGGCTACACCTTAACACTTTAAGAATAAGCAGACACGGCTCCATTGTCTGGTGACCCCTTATTTAGACCTCGGTCATTACTTTGAAGTTAATTATACTGTTGGGGTTTATGTATGAACCCGACACTCTTGATAGACGGAACATAATCAGACTGACCAATTTAATTTTAGGGATATTGGAGGCCCTCTCTCATCTCCGGCAGTTTCTCCTATTCCACCCTGCCTCTGCTTCACCAGAGATTTTGTAAATTCGGGTGACATTAAGAATGCGATGGCTGCAATGAATGTACGCGCCTATGTCTGGAACTCTGCGTTTTGGTGGCTTTATTTAAGACAATTAACCAATTGCAATATTTTTATCTTATTCATAAAATTGTCCGACATTCTCAAGTCGGACAATCGACTTGAGAATGGTCCAGGACGGACCGAAACGTCGTCGTCCCTTCACTTTCTAGTGTGTGGTCTGGTCATACTTTAGCCACGTTGACTCATCGCCTGCATTCATAAAAAGAGTTGGTTGTCAATTTCTGAGCTCGAGATTACGTTTAGGTATTAAATAAGTTTACCCATAAATATTTGCGTTTTCTGTTAAATATGAGAGGGTTTTCTTATTAAGAGCGGAAACATTTATATTCTTTCAAAAGTTTAATAATTTATATTTTGTAAGTTTATTATGCACTACATTCCCGTCCGGTGAACATTAGTGGGAAAGTTAAAAGGTACATATTGAGCTCTCAGATTGAACCCCAATATTTAGCAAAGTTAGTCTAAAGAAGCTAGTTAGTTCACTAAAAATTAGCATATCAACAAAGTACACACAGAAATCACAACGTGATGTCAAATGAACAAATCCACAAGAGCTATGAGGGTTCGAACCTACGCACGGGATGTTCCCAGATGCGCCTTAGTCAACTGTACCAATATATGGTACATATTGTGATTTATTTTTTTTTTTTACGCATTTTGATATACCTGAATAAACATTTGACATGGTTAACATGTTTGATCGAGGCCTTGAACCTTCGAGGCCCTTGTTGATTTGTTCATATAAAGTGTTCAGAAACTCCTAAAAGTTGTCACTTTAGCTAAACAACTTGCATATGGGGTGAGCTAATTTCATAATTTGATCTGCCATCATACACACCGGCCCATCCAGTGGACAGCGGTGGGAAGCCTACAACATCCTGAATTTACATGAGCCGCTAACATTAGTGGCCTCGAGGACAGGAAACCGGCGGCTTGTCGAAGGCCATTTGTGGAGTGGTCTTTCGGCCATTTGTAGAGTTTGTATATAACTTTCGAAAAACCTCAATCATCTTAATTTCTCACGTTACAATAAATCTATCATCGCCAAATCGGATAATGTGACTTAACATACCACATTTCTCCAGATTCATTTCCGTTAATGACTGTTTGAACCAGAATATCCATTAATTCGCTCTTTCAAACGTGTGGGTAATGGGATGTCGCCCAATCATTTTATTGCGAACAGTGATGTAAAGTATTCATTGTTTGCCGCCATTTATCGTCCATTATAACCCGTTGCGTCATGCACATAGCAGCCGAGTGAGCTGTACTGTGTCTTGGAGCCACACTCGCTGCCAGGGGTGTGGCTCCAACTTCTCACTAGAATAATCAACTGACAAGTGTCGTATGAACGTATTTTTAATATATTTATAACTGAATTTTGAGTGTTCATTAGACAAAGATGGTGTATGATGTACATAAGTGTAAGATTTATCGGCGCTGCCTGACACGCTGAGCAGCATTAGGTGTAGCCACTCACCCGGTCAGTCCTGTGCGGGCGGTGGCGCGAAATCATCTTTATTTCTGGGCTTGGCGTCCCCGCGGCCCGGTCCTCGACTAGGCCTCCTTTTTGTTACACATCCCCGGGACGCAGCCCGTAGCAGCTGTCTAACTCCCAGGTACCTATTTACTGCTAGGCGAACAGAGGCGTCAGGGTGGAAGAAACTGCCCATTTGATTCCTCCTTCACTGCGGATTAGAACCCGGAACCTTAGGACTACGAATCCCGACCGTTGTCCACTCGACTGTCAGGCTTCTAAGTTCAGGTGGTGCTGAATTTAGTTTGAATACTTCACAAGTTTAATTACCCTTTGAAAATGATGCCCCGATATTTTTAAAAATGTCACCACCTCTGCCATCCATACCTCTATCCTGTCAATTATAACCCCTACGGGTCTACAGTACATAAAAGGTGTTTGTTAACGTTTTTATCTACTTTTGTGAAGCTTCCAGTGACTCGGTCTATTGTTCCCCACGAGCCGCCACTGATTATAACTTGTCTCGTGTGTTTAATGGTAGCACGCAGCCTTTTGTTTCGGTTGACTTGTAGAGACATAGTCCGACTTTAGGCTTTTTTGAAAAATTTCTTTCGTAGTTTCTTTTGGCAGATTTGACTTCCTGGGTGGCAGAACTTAGTCCTCTTATATATATTTTTGCACTGTTGTTCATTATACATTTATACCGTCTCCAGAAATGTACTTATCTTAGCCAAGTCTCCCAACTTTACCTGCTGTAGGTAGTGCCTGTGTCATTGTGAAGTTTCCACCGCCATCAATGTAAATTGCTTATTTGGTGGCAAGTATAGGTTATATTTAAAAAAAAATTATAATTTGCTACAGTAATTGTACTTTGAAAATTAAGATAATTCTCCCTCATTTGGATATACATTTCAGGCGTTTGTGTTGGTTGTCATGTCGGTGTCTGGGGACGTAGCATTTGCCGCGACGCCTCTGCTGCCCCCTGACGCCGCGATGTCTGGCTCACGAAGCGACTCCATCAACACCTCCAGTGCTCCGGCGGCGACACACTCCAGGACTGGAGGCGCAGAATTGGTGACGACGCTAGGAGAGAGCCTGCCTGGAGGTGAACAGGAAGATGGTGGCAGGGAAGAGCGTGACGAGCCCTTCCTCCCCGGCATCTTGACACACCTATCTCTCCTTGAGGAACGTGAGGCAGAAGGTAATATGAAAGTGTGGTGATGACCAGACCACACACTAGAAGGTGAAGGGACGACGTTTCGGTCCGTCTTGGACCATTCTCGAGTCGATCTCGCAATCGACTTGAGAATGGTCCAGGACGGACAGAAACGTCGTCCTCCCTTCACCTTCTACTGTGTGGTCTGGTCAACATACTTTAGCCACGTTATTGTGACTCATCGCCTGCACATGTGTGGTATACGGAGACAGGCAAAGTCCTATGAGTTAGGACAGCGTAGAGTATAGATTATGCAATATTTAACATTTAAATCACTTGCCACCATTGTTTCCCATGTTGGAACTACTGTAGCCCTCACTGCCAAACAGATAACCCACAATGACTCCCCCAGTGCCTTCACCAGATTTTTTTCTCTGGCGTCTCGCCGCCTAGGACACGCCTTGCTAACATTTACCTGGTTTCAGTGCCGCGGTGCCAGCAGCCAGTCCAGACGGGGATGTGTCGGGGGATGTACCGTATGTGGTACTACGACACCGCCACCACCACCTGTACCATGTTTATCTATGGCGGCTGTGGAGGAAACGACAATAACTTCCTGACGGAGGCGCATTGTCGCGCTGCCTGTCCAGGTGGGTCATTGGTGGCGGGGCCGGGTGTTAAGTTGACATTTTATGAGCTCTCCAGGCAGACTAATACACAACCCAAATTAACAAATTGATAAATTTAACAATCCGGTACTGCACCGTTATTTGTAACAGAACTACTAGATCACATCCGTCAAAGAGGGTCGCAAAATCCACTCCCCCCTGCCCCCCCCCCCCCTCCCCAGAAATATCAAACTACACACAACAAATTACCGAATTATTGAACTAGTTGTACAACTAGTTATGACTTTCATCTATTAGAAAGAGGAAATAGAGGTAGGTTTCTTGATATAAAATATTAATTTGTATATTTTGAATTTTGGTGAAAAATTGACTAGTTACTAGTTAGATATTGCATTTAGGGTAATTGACTCAATTTCGTAGAAGCTAAAAAGTTGGCGTAAAACACTAGAGGCGAGTGTCGCTCAGGCCGCACTTGCATTAAAGTAGAATTTGGTTTGCTTAAACTTCTTTAAAGCCAGCCAGCAGCCGGATGAACATTTTAAAGATTAAAATGGCCGAGTGGACTCTTAAATTGCCAAATAGTTTTATTTATATTTAATGTTTTATTTATGAAATGGTTCTGCGCTCGGTGCTCCTAGTGTATTAGCAGGATTTTACTAAAGATGAATTACACATTGGTGCTGAGGCTGCAGGTAAACATTAATCCCTAGGCTGCGCCGAAGGCAATAAAGGGCTGTTTAGTACCCTCGCCGGACAGAGGCCAATGTTACTAGTGTCGGTCATTCCCATGGTGTCACTAGATGTAGAGCGGCAATAACGGTGCCAACGGAAGTAGTTAAGTGATGCCTAGCCTTCCCACGGGTAATAGTGACTGTACCAGGAGCCCTGATTTAATTTGTTCTGGGCACTGGGTGAGGACGCTCTTGAACCCCGCTGACTAGTGTTGCTTGTGACCAGTTTCCTGTACCGGTGACACAAGAGGGCGAGAGGCACAACTTTCGGACGGTGGAGCCCAGCCCAGCCCGTCCTAGAAGAACCGTCACAAATGTTTTAAACTGCCGTAAGACTGGTCCACAAATAGAAAAAGTAACAGGCCGTAAATTTAGCGAGCAGCTATGATTTACAGTAAATCATATATCGACGTTGAGGATTTTTAGTCTAAATAAATAATTTCAAGAGGACAAAATGCATCGTCAGAGCTCCTCACTCTGCTCGGGAAGACTTGACTTTCAATCCTTCTGGGACTGGGAACACATTAAGAGGGGGAACGGCCCTTTCCACCCCCCCCCCGTCCCTCCGAAGTAGCGTTGGTATGTTAACCCGTAGTAAATGCCCCACAATGTGAGAATTGGGAAGTTAATTTTATAAATTTGAATATAAATTAGTAACTCTTAAGGGTGCCAAGATTTTTATACTCTCGCACGTTCTCCACTCATCCCCAGACGTGGTGGCCTGCCCAGAGGACCCGAGCAGGACGTGTCTGGTGTCTGCGTCAGCCTGCGTCAACGCGACGTGTCCAGCGGAGCCGGATGCCATCTGTCGCGTTACTCCGTGCACTTGTCTTCCCGCCTTCGTCAACGAGGTTGGCGATCCCGTTCGGTGCGAAGAGCAGACGCCTGTCCCATCCCCACCTGCCCCATCCTCACCTGCCCCATCCCCACCTGCCTCATCCCCACCTACCCCATCCCCACCTGCCTCATTCCCACCCACCTCTACCCCCACATTAACAGAGATAACCACCATTACGCCCACGACCTCTGATGAAGACGAAGGTAATGATAACGAGTTGTTAATGGCGTGTTTGAGGGATGATAGTGAGGCGAGGGGCCATGGGTGGAGGCTGACTTGCACAAGGAAAGCTCTTGAAAAAAGATGTGATTGACGATTGATTAAGATTAAGCCACGCAATAGATGGCACGGGCATGAATAGCCCGTAAGCATGATTGACGGGTACAAATGAGTAAAATTGTTTAAATAAAGGGCAAACGGAAAAGGTTCTAAAAAGATAATCCCGTTAGGAAACTTTCACAAACTTTTTATTCCCCGGATATTGCTCTACCTGGACGGTAGAGCGACGGTCTCTGTTTATGCAGGTCTGAGTTCAATCCCCGACCATCCAAATGGTTGGACACCATTTCTTCCACTTCCCTTCCCAATCACATTTAATTATCCTGACACCTTTCAAGTACTATATAGTCACAATGACTTGGCGCTTTCACTAATAATTCACTAATCTGTGCAACAATCTTCAATAGTCATCACTTAACCTATCCACACGATCTCAACCCCCCCCCCCCCCCATTAATTCACTGGGTATTGCAAGGGTTAGGCTTGAGGGGGATGAGTTTTGAAGGTAAAAATTAAGTAATTTGGTGGTTATCTTGGACGTGGATATCGCTATAAAAGCACACATTAACGACCTGGAGAAAGTCGGGAGGGGTCCGCGCATGTGTAATAACTTTCAATACTATTTTCTCCTACAGTGGACGAGCTGCTGTGGGTGACGGTGGTGTGTGTGGCAGGAGGGGTGATCCTGGCGGGGGCGATGCTGTGGGCGCTGGTCCGCCACTGCAGGCTACACCACAAGGGCTTGTACATCATCTTCCTCGCCACCACCAACACCGACAGGGAACTCCGCCCCGCCAAGCAGGTCAACGCTCTAGACTCCACACCCGGCAAATTCAAAGAGCTTTCCCACTTCCCAGTATGAGAGGCAACGCCGGCGACGAGACGTCTCTTGATAACTGTTTCTAGTTAAAGTTTAAAGCACGTTTATACGTTAAGGTACTTAAAACTGAAGTGATTATAGATGTTAAATTTAAATTTTCCATTAACTAATGTTTTAACGGAGTGGAATACGGCAACATTTGTTTTAGAGGCGCTATTTGCATTTAAGATTTTTAAATGTTATTAAAACTAGCATTAAAACGATCACACTGATAGTTTATCATGGATTTTTTTAATTTTGAGAAGGATGTGGCATGTTAGGCGACACTGGCAGTGAGAGGCAGCACATGTACCTCTGGTAAAGTCACTGATCAAAGTTATTGTGAGAAGCTCAAATTTTGTTCAAAGAATTACTTGTGCATTTTAATTCTCTGTAGATTTGTGAATAAATCTTTCCTTTTTTAATGGCATTAAATTCACCTTACGATGGGCGTGGTTTAGTATTGTTAGAATTACAAAGAATGTCTGTTCAAAGTTGGAGGCTTGCAGATACTTGACGCTAGCCTCGCCCATTTGTGTAAGAATATATGTTTTGGGGGATGGGACAGTCATAGGCTACTTGGGGTCGGGTCAAGTTATATGCTTTAAGAAACATTAGCATTTGGACCCCAAACTCCCCCCCCCCCCCCCATGAGATTTTCATGGTAAAGTGCGAATTGTTTGGCATTATCCCCCCCCCCCTCTCTCCTTTTCCCATCTTGAGAGTTTTTAGTAATATTATATTTTGAGACTTGAACACTTGTTTGTGCTTCATGGTAACTAATGAAAAGTGGGGAAAGGACCAAGTGGGTATTGGGGTAGAGTGGCTCAAGAGGTAGATACGGTGAAGTGGGTAAGAGACCCGGGTGCAGCCGGGTATCCCTTGTATACAAATGCGTCCCAAACGTCTGACCATACAAGTGAATTTTAAAAAAAATATAACGTGTATTATTTACATTATTAGTTGTATTGTAACTGACTTAAATTATACTTTAAAAATCCTAATGTTTTTTTCATGGGTAACCTATGGCCATACTTGTGTAGGGGGCGAGAGGGATAGATGGGAGAGGGGGGGGGTGTGGAAGGACGGACTATCCCGGGTGCCGCTGGGAACCCCTCCTAGTAATATATATATGAAAAGTGCGTTTTAAAACGAAATAATTCAAACAAAAATTTAGCAGTTTATGCAATAGTCTAAATGCTGATTGTTGGCAGATTTAGATTCATTGAATTTTGATTTTTTGGTTGAAAGATTAGGATATATTTTGGGTTGGGTGTAATACCAGGTGGAGTATGCCAGGACGGAGTCTGAGGGCCTCGCATGCCTCTGAAGATCCTGGTGATCATTTATCCTGGTGTTAAAGTAAGAATCATGCGGGTACAGGGCGACGTCACGGAGGGTTTATAGAGTAATGCTTGTCTCTGGGATGGTGGTCCTGCCATGATATATTATAGGGGCCCTGCAGTGGAATATTGGTCGGGGTGTGTATTGTCACGTGTGGGAGGTTGTGTGTGTGTGTGTACTCGTCTAATCGGTGTACAGATTCCCGAGTCTGTTGGGCTTTCATATCTACATTCGAAACCGTGTTCGGAGTCTGCCTACGCTACATCGCTGTCTAGTGCACTTTATTTGTTAACTACCCTGACGCTAAAAAAAATTCTAGTCTATGACTCGCTTGAGTACTCTTGTTTCCACCTGTCCCTTGCTGCATGTACCCCCTATGTTAAGCCGTCTTTATCTACCCTATCAAGTCACCCGAGAATCCTGTATGTGGTGATCATATCTCCTCTAATTCGTGTGTTTCCCCACACACCTGATTGTGCCGTCAGGTGTGTGAGAGGGGGGAAAGGTCGCGTACCGTCAGGTGTTTAGGAAACTTCTACTCCACAAGCTCTGCCACAAGCAGAGCTTGTCTGAAGTTACTTGGTCTGAAAGGCTGTTGGTGTGTGCACCCCGCATGTTCGTGTCCCTCCAACAACCCGGCTTCTCCAGCACTTGCCCCGGGAACCTGTCCAGCTGTTTACTAAAACTTACGCTTGTCCTGTAACATTTCTTGGTTGGAGGAGGTTGAGCTGACAAAGCGGTCTCCCAACACGAGAGTTCTCGGTACATCATCTTTAAGCCATTAAAGTCAGCTTTTCAAAAGCCTATTGAGGAAAATTAAAGTTTTATTTCTTTAATTAAAGCCTGACTGCTGGGCTCTACGAAAGCCGACACAAATTATTATGTTCATTAACATAATTAACTTACAATTTTGCCTAATTTGAGTAATTAAGTCTTATTAGAGTGAGGATGATGCTCGTATTCACTATCAAACAGAAGAGACGATCATGCACAAGACCATAGGTTGAAACTGTCGACTGAAGCGCGCACAAATTTCATATTTACACTCAATTTTACAATCAGACATTATACACGATTCAATTTACGAATTTGTAAATGCACCTTAGTATTGTTCACTACCCCACAAGGCACGGATGGATTCGTAAGAAATAAAACTTAAAATTTTTTGTCTATTCCTGAAATTAGGCAAGCAAATTTAGAATAAATTGTTAGGCTATCGTCTAGTACACCAGATACAATGAAATGGTTACATAGTGGATTGTACAGCAGCTCGGGTCTACAATCTTTTTACTGTTTACAAGCTGAATATTCTGGTAGTGGCTCGGCCTCACTAACCTGCCAGATGTGCCTATAGTCAAGATGAATTAGCGCGACCACATTGTCTCGTCCGGTTACTGCGCTGACCATATAAATAATAATAGACAAGTTGCTTTTCAATACTGCAGCTTTTAGGTCTTTTGATCTTTTCTTAGTTCTAATAAATCTGTAGCAATCTCTTTAATGTGAAAATTTTTAATTGCATTAGATGGGCCAAATCAGTGTTTTTTTTTCCTGCAAGCCTACTGGCCAATCGATGTACAAAGTCATGTTTTCCAACTCTAACATAAGACGGGATTCACACAATTTTTCATTAACAAATGATCAGCGTTGGGAAATATTCAAATGTTATTTAATATTGTCAACTAGTTCAGCCATTAATTGCGATGGTTATTCAAAGACTGTAGAACAGGCACAAAATACCACTCCGCCCCATTGAGTTTAAAGTACTCAGTGAGTAGGTAAACACCTAATACCTCAGCTTGTGAGAAACGGAAACGACTGTTAAAGTCTTTGACCTGAAATATGACACGATTGAGAGCAATTCTTCCAGAGACTTTCAGTTCTTTACACATACACATGGGTCTGAATTTTTGAGTTAGGTTTAGGAATTGGTATTAGATATACTAAACATAATAGATACCCTTAAAAAGATTCATAGAAAACACCATCCTTACCTAACCTTGTTAGTATCTTAAGATAAGCATCTTATTGCTTCGTAATTACAATTATTACTTAACCTATACCTATAATAGGTTAGGTAATAATTGTAATTACGAAGCAATAAGATGCTTATCTTAACATACTAAGTAGGTTAGGTAAGGTCGGTGTTTTCTATGAATCTTTTTAAGGGTATCTATTATGTTAAGAATGTCACCTATGCACATATTTAATAAGTAAATATTGACTTATTAAATTTGCGAGAACGGGTTGCATTATGAGACAGTGTCCATTTTTTTAAGATTCCTTGTGAGAGGCTGATTTGATAGGTGAAGCAAAGGGTGGCTAGGGACATCATTCAGTAAGCTCAAGGTATTATACGTTATACCATCCTCACTATGGGCAGTTTGTTTCCCCTTCTGCTGTTGTCAACTCAAATTGGGTTATAACAAACTAATCCGTTAAATCTGGCAAGACTAGGCTATTGCAATATTAAAAGTTTGTTAATTTTGGTATTATTTAAATGCTGCTCTATGTCTGGGGGTAAGGCTGAAGTTTGAAAGACACTAGGCCATTGAGTTAAGAGCATATCCGTATATCATGCAGAAGTATGCTGAACTGGGGGGATGAAGACTTGGCAATATTTTAAATTTCGCTTCATATCTCCGATCAAGTTGTAGTTCTATTGATACATTGTAGGAATTGCTCCTAATTTGTAGTCTTCATATAACCCATAAATTATTAAGGTCGCAAGAAAAAAAACTCTTATTGGCATTGAGGAATGGTAGTACATTTTCAGCTGTTTTCTGCATGACTTACGGAGGTGGCAAGCCTAGCCTCGTGCCACAATCGAATGATAGGATTTCGTTCATTTATTTCTCATTGTTTGTGTATGAACTTTCTTGTTGAGAATTGCTCCAATATTGGTGCAGGATTTTGATTTGGCTTATATGAACAAAGTATTTTAAATGGATGGATGGAAAGGGAGGTGGATAGTAAGGTGAATGGGGGATAAGGAGGTAGAAGGTGGATAATGGAGTGGATTGTGAGGTAGAAGGTGGATAATGGGGTGGATTGTGAGGTAGAAGGTAGATAATGGAGTGGATTGTGAGGTAGAAGGTAGATAATGGGGTGGATTGTGAGGTAGAAGGTAGATAATGGGGTGGATTGTGAGGTAGAAGGTGGATAATGGGGTGGATAGTGAGATGGATAGCGAGACGGGTAATAGTGTGGAGGCGAGCTGGTACCGGGTGGAGAGAGCCAAGGGATCGTCAGTGAGACACGAACTGCAGGCGGGGGCGCACCACGCTGCTCCTGGGCTGCACAAACGCACGCTGTGTTCGGCTCCTTCCCACCCTGACTTGATTGATCTCTTAACAAACCTGTACTCACAGCGGACTAACACCGTCTCGAGATGGATTTATAAGTGGATCAGTGTTCAGTAGGACGCCTTTTGCCAAAGCTTTATAATTGCCATCCAAGCAGCGACCACTAACTGCCATTGAGCACCAATTAAAGGTTGGTACTGCGAGCTTAATATAATTTCCTTTCAGATGCCTTTACGATAGACAACGGTTATCGTAATTTTAATAAGTCCCAGCACGTCCGGTTAACGCATAGCTTGGTTGGATGAATCTTGAGATGAATAGGATGAATCGTGATTGATTCTTCGAGGCCTGGTGGTGCTCTCCTGACGGTATAGGCCTCGAGGAAACATTTTTTGCAATGAACCAAATCTTGCATACTCTTGCCTAGCTGCCATTGCTATTTAGCATTACTCGGCACCTCTTACTAAATCCTTTCAGCCTCGTATGTCCTATGTGAAATCCTTTTGACTTAATGGGTTATGGCTGCCTTTGTGATTACCATGCTAATCAATCATAAAAATGGAGGAGTTCTGGCTGTTAATGGTGCAGCTGTCATGCGCCGCCGCACTGTCTGTGCGGTGTGACTAAGTTAGTTAGTGTGTTCACAACAGCAGCGTCACTATTAATGTGATGTATTTTGTGGTATTTGAATAGTGTTGGTTCTCTAAGGAAAATGTGCGAGTGTGTTGACTAATGGTTTCTTGAAGTGTACCGTTGGGTGTTTTGTGTTGCGGCTC